TTTAATTAAAAGCTAAAAGTCACACCTACTGATTCATAAAAATATCTGAAAGTTTTTTAAATCGAAAAAAAAATTGTAATGAAAATCTAAACTCGAAATGACGACATCCTGTTCAAACATATGTGATAGTCGCATTATGTCTAATGTAAAATTTTAATTTAAAACGAATGAAAGAACTAACGAGAACGTTCAGCTGCATTTGCAGAATGAGGATTCTCGTGACCACTCACAGAAGGAGGACCACTAATACTAGGGGACTCTCTACCTGACACATTGGCACTGATAGGTAGCATATCACTAAAGTTATCCGGGAGCGTTGATATGTCTTCCCCATCGTCATTAGCTTAAGAAAAGAAAATCACTACACGAAGAAAAAAGATATTTTAACTGGAGAAACAAAACTAGTGTGAAAAGCCATTGAGGAAGTTCAGAAAAATGATTTTTTTAAGAGAAAATTATACAAGAGGAGACGGCTCAGCATGACAAATGAGAAAAAATCAGCTGAACTGCAAAAAATACCTTCAATGGAAGAAGACAAACTTCCCGCCTCTTCGTCGCTTCCGACTTCTGTAGTTCTGTCAGAAAGACCTTGAAAAACCCAACATTTCATCAAAAATATTGTCTACACATAAAAAATAAAGAAAAAAAATTTTACACAATTACTAGAAGGCTACTCCCGTATTTTCCAAATAAACCACCTATACTTTCCGTATCGACAAAACGAGTTCTCTTTTCAGCAGAATCATCAGAAACTTTATGTTTACGAAAACTTCCCATCTGCTTATTTGCTTCCATAAATTTGTCTTCGGCGCATAAGCCTAGTGGTTCTCGGTTTTCACCCAGCGGAAATATCAAAACCTATAACATAAATCAATTAAAGTAGACGACTCCAACAAATTATTCTTAATTTGAAAGAGGATTCACCTTTAGTTTTGCATACTGAAAAAGAGATCAAGATAAACAAATTCACAGCAATCAAATAAGAATAGCTACTGGATAAACATGAAGCATTGAAAGCTATCACCTACTGCAGTATCACAAAAATAAAACGACTACCACATGCTGACGATGTCTCACAAAGATAATACCAAGAAATAATAAGAAAAGGTTGTTCTAGTAAAAACCAGAGTAAAAAAAGCAGACGTAGATAAAGATTGCTCAAAGTAATAAAAAAAATTTGTCATTTAGAATATTAAATTATGATATAAGCCAAAATCATAATTCACTATCATAATTACTTTATAATACAGGTGGAATATGTTGATACAACAAAGTTCTAGGAATGAAATAGAAATTAGCCAACTACTGCAAATAAATTAACAAACTTCGATTTTCAAATCACGTTGTTCACAAGCTGCGCCAGAAGTATCGCTTATCGTACTATTCTGCATCCGTAGTCTTCCCTTATGAGCAGCAGTTTGAACTAAAAGTAGAGACAAGTAGAAACTTGAATATCTAATGACAAAAAAATAACTACTAATAGTACGAATTAACGCTATTAAAAATAATACGCTGGTGCAAAGAGACTTACTAAAAATACATCAGAGCGATTCTTTAAAAGTCACTCCTAACGGCCAATAAAAGCGTTATATAATAATGCAAAAAAAAAAAAAAATCTTAAAATAGCAACTATCCTGTAAGTCAAACCCACAGAAGTTCAAAGCACAAATAAATGTATCTGCAACATTACTATATTAAATAGACTTTCCCACTTGAAAACGGACTGTAGGCGAAAAGTTTGTCGTAATGAAGAAATAAGAAAGAACTGCCACTATCTGCCCCACTGCTTTCTTTAAAGTAATTACCGCTAGTCTGTTGATGCTGCCGTCACAGGTTCTCAACAAATTTATCCAGAAAAAAATTTCTTAAATGACTCACTTGCCTCAACAAATTCAGATAATATTAAACTGTCAAGTAAGAAATTCTTCGCTGTTTTGAACTACTAATATTAAAAGTTTTGCAAATAGTAGCTTGCAGAATCCACTAAAGCCTCCTAACCCGCTCAAATAACTGAGGCCATTTTCTATTGGGAACCTTATTTCCATAAGTGAATTTCTAAAAAACCTTAAAGTACAAATAGAAGTCCGAGTTCCAGTGAATACACTACCAGCCCTATTAAAAATTTCATCAATATTACTAATTTTCTAAATCTATACTTGCAAGCAGCGCCACAACTGCCACAACCGGATCTGCAAAGTAAGGCATCAAAATAATGTTGAAGACCTTATCAAGCAAGCGACAATTGCGCAGTAGCGGAGAAAACTTTTTAAATCTTTTGCAAAACCTAGACTCTAAAAATTTAAGCAAAAAACTAAGATGGATGCGACACCATTTAGTATATCTTATTTGCAACAATCAGTAACAAGCATTAAATTTAAACATTAACAGAAGAATAAAGAATATCAAAAAAAAAAAAAAAACATTATAGAGGTATCAATATTAAAATAAAAAATTCAAAAATATGAGTAAACCTCTGTCAGCAAAATTACGCAGTTTTGCGCCGCGACCAGAAGGAGACGAACTGCAAGAATCAGGACACTCAACAGCTGTAGGTTTCTGAAAATACTACTTAACCATAAAAAATTTATCGCTTCCAGTATTACGAATTTCTCACACTGAAATGCACCGCGCCGAAATCGGCAGCGTTTCGCGAAAAACAAAGAGTTAAATTGTTTTTACAAAACTCCTCTTGTTATTGAAAACTAACCTGCAGTTGACTTCAACGACACCCAATCCATACAAAAGTGCAAAGACTAGACTTGAAAGAGTAGGAAGTTAGAAGATAAAAAACTAGCTAAACTCGAGATAAAACAAAAACAAAACCATCTTTGGAATTTATATGCTATTCTGCATCTTCAAAGAAAAATTAAAGCTAGTAAACTTTTCTACAGTTTTCAACCTTAACATCTACAACTGCCAGAGAAATCCTGTCGTAAAAACAAACCATGTCATTGTCGAATTTATCTAGAATCATCCCTAGATCGAAACGAATTGGTAATCGTCGCATTAACGACCGAAGTTCTCGACGAACCTCAGCATCACTGAGATGATCTACTGCAGGTGAACGCAATACAGAATGCTAAATAAAAAACACTACTTCTGTTCTTTAGCATATTGAAGGTAATTATTTTAATACGACTAACCAAACAGTGAAGCTCTGCGAGGGTACCAATAAAAAAACGTCGAACTGACTGGTCAGAACCTTGTGACTCGGAGGTTATTGACGGAAACAAGGTATCCAACGACTCCTCTGCTTTCCCCAAAACAGTTTTCACTACTTGAAAAACCGATACCTTAAAAATCAACAATCTTCTAAAAATTCAGAAATCCAAAAAATAAAAACCCTTTCCATGAGCTTTAATCTTTTCAAGTCTACAACTGAAGGAACAAAATTATTAACAATTCGGTACAGAAAAAAGAAGCAGTATTTCACTAACTTGATCAAAGTGGGAATAAAAGTAGGCAAGGTGAGAAGGAGGCTGTTCATACGGAGCAAGCGCTAGAGTTTGCAAAATCTGACCAACTTGCATCAAGTTAAACCTATAAAATAAGCGAATAAAAGATTATTTAAAAGAATAACAATTTTGTTTAGTTAATAAGTCCGTACTACCTAGCAATATATGTAATAGGTGTGTCTGAAATAACCCCAAGCGTTTCAGGATTCGCAATAGCCGGGCAAATGAGATGCGTAAAAATCAAATCCGTACAAATCAGTGTTATCTGAAACGAAGCTTTTTTGAGCTTTTTTTTTTGTGCTGCCAACGTACAAAATGTAGTTTTTCAACAATTTTCACACTGAAGACAAATCTGCTGCCAATAGCTCATTATGAATCAGTAAATTTCTTTAAAACCTGAAAAGCTTTTGAAGCAGAAAAAGTGTACGATTAAATGATAGACGTCAGGAAACACCAAAAATAAAATATCTCTTGTTCTAATGCAGCAACTCAAAGCTGAAATGTAAAAAAGGACCGACGTTCAAAGTCTGTCACAAGTGCTGTAACCCTTAAAAAACCTTCAACTTCGAAGTTATAGTGGTCTGAAATTTGATACTCTTAGATCAATACCCCCAGCAAGATAAGCCATATGTAACGGCTTCAGAAGCACCTAATAATACTGCCGTTCAAAAAGTTTCTAAAAAAACCACAAATCTTCAAATTTAAACGTAAAACTCCGAAGCAAGCGCTATTCTATTCCACGAATTTACACCTCAGAGTACACAAAAGGCTTTCAGCAAAACAAAACTAATCGTTTGCCACGACGACACTTTAAAGCAAGTCAAAAGCACTGTAAACGCAAATAGGAGCTTGAATATGAACCGTAAAACAAATCTCCCATATTTCCTTTCGAACGTAACAAAATAAAGTTGAAAAAAACTAACGGAGTCTAACTAGAAAGCAAAATCTCCAAAAAAGCTAATTATTTTACACCTTATTGAGTAACTTCCAGATCTACAAGGCGAAGAAATTTGACGAACAGTTACTTTACAAGTAAACTTTTCAAGCTGAGTTTCCGTAGCATAGAACTTTACCCCTCTCTTACCTCTTAAGAGATTCTTCAATGCCTTTTTAGTTTTATTCTCACTAAAGCAAACTTAAGGAGATGGGATGAACCAGAACCAACCGCCAAACCACCTTCTTTCACTCTCAACAGGTAACAGCAACTCCTTCTGCCTGCTACTGTTGGTGACAAAAATGGAGATTCCTTTGAACTGACAAGTGAGAAACAATCTGAAGCATTCTAACAATTCCAAACCTGTGAATAAGAGACTGCTGCACAGTCACCAAAAATCAGTACAAACATACACTACTGTCATATTCTGAGGTGGTGCTGAGCTAACACTTATATTTGGGAGTTTAAAATATCTGATTTCCAAAAATATTAGAGTTTGCTTTCGCTACTTTGCCTTGCCGTTTTACAATTATAGGCTACCGTCTAACCAAACACGTATTCCACACTTGGAAAAAAGTTTGAAAAATTAACAAGAGTAGAATCCTATGTCTAGTTACTCGAACAGAGCCAGAATCCCTATATTTCATTCCCGCAATCAAGCACCGCACTTAAAACTAAGTGACGACGATACAACCGTCACGCTACCTAATTTGAATAAAAATGACTGGAAGTGCCTCCGGAACAGTTTTACTGATACAGTATAAAAAAAAATTTCTTCATATATGGCATCAAGATTAATGACTTTATTTATAGCAATTTTTTGAGACCTGTAAACGACACCTAATCAAAAGGATGCTGCACACCCTGTACCCAATTATGATTTCTCTGACAGAAAAAATTATTCTTTAATCACAAGTGGTAATGAGTAAAAGATATGCAATTCAATCACCGGTTTTTCGACAACAAAAATACTATATTTTTATTTCAGGATGCAACCGCATTGTATTTCATCTCTCATTTAAGTTTAATTTGGATATTATAAAACAAAAAAATTGAGATAAAAGTGAAACCTCATCTGGTTTGGTCCTTTTTCCCTCTGATAAAACAGAATGTATGTGCCGAACAAGCCAACTTAAAGTTCGTGGGAAACAAGTCATAGCATGTGTTATTCCTAGAAAAACGAAGTAATAAATCTGTAAAAATGTAAATCTGATAGATCAACAGCGCCAGTTACCCTGAATGAAACGAGACGTAATGGCCTTCAGTTTCAACTCAATTATCCTTCGATGCGCAGTTAATTTTTGCAAATAACTTAACGAATTTTCATCCTCACCAAACCTAAAACAAAACCCTACATTCTAGACATCTTCAAAAAATTTATTTGCGTTTTCCCTTCAAAGAACAGTAAATTATAAAGGAAAATTCGATGTTAGAAACGACTTTTTATTTTACAGACCTTCTCCTTCTTTCCTCCAACGGAAAACGAATGGCAGACTTAGAAGGATCAATATCCAAAAAAAGTTCATCTTGACTTAAAACAAACATTATAGGGTCATGTAGGGCTGCTGTGAGGAATATCTGCAGTACAAGTGACTCAGAGTAAAAATGATACTTATACGTATGAAAAATTAACAAAAACAACGGAAGACACGAAAAAAAACCGGTCAAGAAAAAATTAATAATCCAGATCAGAAGGAAACCTTTGCAGTAAATAATCCTTCAGAAAAAAGTTTATACAAACGGCAAAAAGCAGCAGTCCCTTTTCGAAGAAGCAGCCGAGGGCTTTCACAAGTGGCCAATTGAATGCGAACAAGATGAGAAAGAACTTGGAGCATACGTCGTTCATCTGTTGGAAAAACACAGCACCCGTAAAGCAAACTAAAGACACAAGGAACGAATTCTGGTGAAAGAATGTCGTCTGTGGTACATTCAGCTATGCCGTCCTGAACGATAAGATTATGAGACATGGACTCCAAAAAAATGAGCAGAAACACTGGATGTAATACCTGAACTTCATTACTAGAAGCAATTACTAATTTCAACCACTGTTTTCGTTTGTCAAAAAATATGGTGTGAGAAGTGAAGAGAAATAAACTACAATAAAAAAACATGTTTAATCATTTGAAACAGTGATCAAATAAAATCCAAACTTTAACCTTTATTTGGTCCACTGCGTGAAGAATTTCAGCAACAGACTCTGTCGAGTTTAATAAAAGGTTCAAAACATTTACGACAGTGCCATGATATTGTGCACCAATCCTATGATAACCGTCAAGAAATTGAGCAGAATCAAGAATAGCATTCAGTTTACAACAGTTTTCGGGACGTACTTTCGGATGAGAATTCACCAAACGTGACAGTATTATCTAAAAAATTGTCTCTTAGTACTAGAAATATGGTTGTATATTCCATTAGGCATTTTGTTTTTTGAAGCCCCAACAGAGAACGGGCGAGATGAGTAGAGGAAGGTCGTATCAAAACAAAACACATCTTCCACAAATATCCAAAAAATATTTTTGCGCTTATGTCTCTCATACAACTTTGCTGCAAGTCTAATGAAAGACTGGCGTTTTTTAAATTTCTCGGGATAAAAAAACCACTTTTTCTTTATCCTCTAATTCCATATTTCAACTACCTTCACTGTTTTATTGGCCTACAATACCCAACGTTTACCACCAGTTACGCAAATGTTACACACCTGCACCGTAAAAACAACCCCCAGATACCCTCTATTCTTGTGAGTGATCGACACAGCACGAATAATATTTTTTAGTTGAAAAACTATCAGTATACTATAAATACCTCTTCTGAAAACCATTGCAATCAAGACACTCGCCTTTAAAAGCTATTTTTGGCTGCATTTCTTAATATTTTTTAAACGCAGATCTTTTCACTCCATCTAATTACCTCTAAAGACTTTAAAAACACCCATGTAGCTTCTAAATAACTTTTGCCTGAAAGGTCTGGGATTACTTGGGTGGAGCTACTGAGTGGATTTTACCAAAACAAGAAAAAAAGCTTCCTGTAAAAACAAACAGGTTGCAGAGACACAAACTAAATCTTAAATTCTGAAAAAATTAGCAGATAAATACAAAAGCTCTTTATAAACTGACTAGAAATACGTTGGTTATTCGAAAAAAAAATACATCCACGAGTGCACAGTACCTGTTGAAAAACGACTTCGGTTGAGCATTCATTTAAAAAAAAAACCAGACTAGTTTAATTACAGATTTCAAAAAAAAAGAAATACTTTTCAAAACTTCTAGTAGTCAAAAGACTGAAAAGGCAAAGGTTGATTTGACAACTACGAAATAACCGAAACCAAGAATGGAAGAGCTTGATAAAATTATTGGAATGATTGGAAGATTTTAAGGTGAGCGAAATATCTACCGTGTTTTTACTGCAAGATTTCACTGCGAAAAACACAGCTGGAAGAATAACTGAAATCCCTCAAACCGTCCCAAAATCAAGCGAAAGAAAAAAGGCTATTTCAAAATGAAAAGTAAACTTCAGAATAAAGTGATGAACAATTACTTGCTGCTGTCTGCCAACCCACGAAAGTTGTGCCAGTGACATCTGCTCAGCATCAACTTGTTCATTCAATTTGTGTAACGTCTCCAATTCACTCGCAACCAAAAGCTTCTCCGACCTTAATCTTTCACATAACGCTGAAAGTGCACTCGCACCAGGATCCCCGTTACTATCCATCAAGAAAACAGTTACAACATCAACCTTAAAATTAACAGCAAATTATTCCATTGAAGGATGAGGAGGCGGGCAAGTTCCCGTTCAGTCCTGAAGATAATTATTCAACTACTGCTGAACACCTTCAAGAACTCGGGTTAAATTAGTCGAAACTCTCACCAATACTTTTCAATACAAACTACAACACATACAATAAAACAGAACTGAGACAGTAAACAGTCATTTAGTCATTTAAATAATTATAAATAAATATATTTGGAAAACCAATTTGCTTGGCACGGTAACGCGAAGAAAATAAATTTTATTAATAACCCTACGACGGCCTTCTATTGTCATCAATTATCTACTGCACAGACTTGAAAATAACGCTCAGGACACTGGAAAGTTGAATCAATATAATTCCAAACTAAGAACAATGAGTAGATAATAATTGCACACAGAAGCACATTTCAATTTGGTTCGTTTTGTGCAACAGCCAACTTCTCCTAGACATTACAAAAGTTAAGCTGCACCAGACGCAGAAGCTTTTAAGCACTTTTCATCCAGTTCACCAAAACGTTCCTGGTACTTCATCATACGAGCTTCTAATTCAGGCCGGAAGTGACGAATCAATCCCTGAAATTTATTAAACCATGAAAAAAATAAACGTTTTATCAGAACAAGTCTGCATTACATCGTTACAACAAACAAGTGTTGTCTTCTCTATACTTTCATACACAGAAAAATGCTTTAAAAATTTCTAGAATAGATGTTATTAGTAATACAAGAAACGCTGTCGATGGACAACCTGAACAGGCCAAGCAGCGGCATCTCCTAACGCACATATTGTATGTCCTTCAATTTGTTTGCTAATTTCCCACATCATATCTATCTCGGATGGTTTTGCTCTTCCATCAACAAAACGCCACATCATTTTGTTCAGCCAGCTAGTACCTTCACGACAGGGGGTACACTAGAAATTCGTCTGAGGGATAATTAATCTACGTACTTCAATCTCTACCAAATGCACTAAAAAAGCTGAAAAACTGAAAAACTAAAATTTTTCAAGTATACGTGCAAAATCCCTTCGAAAAAATATTTATTCCACTGTAAAAATTGAAAGCAATACTTTTAAAAACCAATCAGTAAACAAAACATGAGAGAAGATGTCACTCATCTGAACAGCTGTTTCATTTAAAAGCTAAACCATACTTGTCCACAACTTTCATGTCTATAAAATAATGACAATCTCGCAATGCACTTCACAACGTCTGCTTGTTTGTTCATGACAATAACTGCAGCTGTACCGAGAGCCGTCTGAGCCTCCACTAACGCATCAAAATCCATGAGAACATTATCGCAGACACTGAAAAGCTTGAAATTCAAGAAGAGAGTTCACAAATGAACCTTCGGTATAAAGCCTACAGAAATTTACAGTTTTAAGAGGTAGCATTACTGCTGTTTTGTATATAACACCATAACCCGTAACATCTTCCTAATCAATCTTTCGCTGCTGAAAACTTTCATCAAAATCACATTTAAATCCTCACAATAAGCTCAGTAACGCCAAAATGCGATCTTACAAGAACCTTACAATCAAACTTAGTCACGATGACACAAAATCAGTTTTACAGTTAATTCTTTGGTTCAAAAAATTTTACAGCGCTGCAAATTGAGACAAATAAAAGTTGAAAATTTGCGTCTAAAGTTTAATAAAAATTGGCCATGCCTTTTTGGAATAAGTGGAACAGAAGAACCGCCAGGAATTATGGCAAGGAGGTTGTCCCAACCACCTATGACACCGCCACAGTGTCGCTCAATCAGTTCCCTTAGAGGAATAGACATTTCTTCTTCAACCGTGCAAGGGTTGACAACGTGCCCCGATATACAAAAGAGCTAAAACTCTTAAGCTTACAGTAAGCATCGCTGTCGGTGGTAGAAGGCTTCTTTATAGTAAAAATAAAAAGTTGTAAAATTCCTGATATATCTGCGATATCCATGAAAAAAAATTAGAGAAAAATGGTGAGAATATAAAATTTTTTATTAGAAACCTTTGTTCCATGATTCCTTTCGCGACCAAAAGAGGCAAACCAAGCACCTCCTCGTCGACATATTGTGGGAGAAACTGCAACTGTTTCAACGTTTGTTACAGTAGTTGGGCAGCCAAAGAGACCAATATTGGCTGGGAATGGGGGCTTCAATCGCGGTTTTCCCTGTTTGCCTTCTATAGATTCGATTAAAGCCTAAGATGCGACAGAAGAAAATTTATACATTAAAAAATTACAAATTCTAGCACGTCTTTTAGAAGGCATCTGACGTAAAAAAAACAAATTAGGTACAAAAATAAGAAAATTACTTATTCACTCCTCAGTTTTCTAAAAATTACCGTTTCCTCTCCACATATGTATGCACCAGCTCCACGATGTACGAAAACATCAAAATGGTAGCCAGTACCAAAACAGTTTTTACCAAGGTAACCTGCCTAAAACATGAGACAAGTTAACTGAGTATAGGACATATCAAAGACTGAAATAATGTTACAAAAAATTCTGATAACTTTCAAGAATATACTGACCAAAATCAAAAACTAAAAAAAAGAATACTTTATAAGCTTCGTGTATTGCTTCTTGTAGGATTACAGCTTCATTATAGAATTCACCACGAATATATATATACGCTGCTCGAGCACCCATAGCAACACCAGCAATTAAACAACCCTCAATAAGCTTATGCGGATCGTGTCTCATTATTTCACGATCTTTACAAGTTCCTGGTTCTCCCTCATCAGCATTAACAGCAAGATACTTTGGCCTAAATAATCCTATCACCTCCAGAAGTGCATACTGAATAACAAAACTGGACTTTCAGGTTCTACAGACTTAGAAAAAGCCTTACAAAAAGGCATGTGGAAAGAAGTCAGTGAACTCAGAATGAACGTTCTGCACAACACAAAAGTATTACCTATTGAAAAATCAGATACTACTCAACTACCAAACAAAAATGAAAGATAATCCTATACCATAAACATATAGATCCAAATGAGTTCAAACAAACCTCCCATCAAAGGGTTGTCGCATAAAACCCCATTTCATACCACTGGGAAATCCTGCTCCACCTCTTCCGCGTAAACCAGACGTCGTAATTTCCTTTATAATCCATTCCTGACCCTTTAGAATTATTTCCTTTGTTTTATACCAATCACCCTAAAACCTTCAGTCGCGCCTCAATTACTGCAATCATAACTCAAATACTCATGTTGCTGCATTAAAGATACCATTCTATTATAAAGAGAGGCAGTCACTCCAGTGTAGAAAAACGCATTATGTCAGCCAAAATCATTTAGATCTGTAGCAATAAGATGTTGACTATTAAAAGTATGTTTTGGATAATATTAAATGAAGACGGACAAATAATACAAAAACAATAATCCTGAAGGAGTTAATCACAGAGGAAGAAAAAAGAGATTTAAAAAGTAAGATAAAAATTCCTAATCTTTTCTAGAAACCTGATAGCAGCAACAACAGAACAAAACTTACACGAGATAATGCCCCTTTCAGATGCCAGTCGTGGCGTCCATACAAATTTGTAAAAATACGGTCTTGATCTTTCAATGGGCCAAACTTAGTCTTTTTTGGCTTTTCTCCAGGGTTTGCAGCAGAAGCTATATTGCGAGCACAACTCACTGTAAATGCTGAAAAGTTGCATAAATGCTGAAAAGTGGAATTTTTGACTAATATTTCGCGACTATTAATAGCTAACTAAAATTTCATACACTTATACTCAAATTTCAGACATAAAACATAGAAAAATCGGAAACTGAAGTTATCAAACAAGAATAATCAGGATAAAAAACCGTACCATTCTTAAACTGCGTACGTACCCATAGGTTTAAGAAACCCATATTCTTAGCCATTCCGGAACATCCACTCCTCCCTTAAAAATTATTGATCAACCAGCGCTGTCTGCCTTACTATAATCGCTTAGAATAGGAAAAAAAACAAAATAAAAAGTAGAACGCAAAAATAAAGGGCATTCTTATCAACCAAAAAAATGGTCCAACCGTTTCTTCTTAATGCCAACAGAGATATTTTACGATACACAAAAGATTTGTCCCAGTTACAGTACCCGCTAAAATTTCAGTTCTAGGGCATTAATAGAAGAACTTTTAGAAAAACAGCCAGAAAATACTTTGAATAACCTTGCAACAAATGTGTCTTTTTTCTTTCTTTCCATTTTGCATTAGATAAAAAAAATCCTCAGTATTTCCCGTCATTAAGATATTCGGATTCAAAACTGGCTGGGAGTTCTATGGTCAAAACAACACTTCAAGTGAAAAAGCCAGTGTTTCTAAACTTTTTTCCAAATTTACCTCGGTAATAAAATTTAATATATGACCTCCAAAAAAAGATTCAAGGGTCAACAGTACCAAATTTTTCCCAGTTTTTTCCCTAATAATTCCATTTACACTTTCAAAATATTAACTGTTTGCTGACATATACATCAATTCCTTGATAACAGAACTACATTATTCGAAATTGGAGCATATATCTGATCGACACTGTTAACGATAACCATATGCGGAAAAAAAAGTATAGTAGTCGGAATACATGCCTATTACAAATTAAAAACTGATAATAAAAAAAGAAAGAAAAAGATTTTAACAACCAGGTAATTCGACGTAGATCTATAAAACATTTTTTTTAGTGTTCGGTAAGTGCCAACTAATGGAGAAAATAATTCTTAAATACGTATCAGGAAAAGTTCTACTAAATCAATAATTAAAAACTATATAGTTTACCCTAAGTGCTGGCAAATATATTAAACTAAGGTAGGAGAAAAACTACCTGAAAATAGTTAAGTCGCCAATATGAGAAAACGGTTTCAAACAGAAAAGCCCAACAAAAGCATCCCGTACAAATTCAATTACACAAGGTTCTCCAGAAAAAAAAAAAAGGCAAGGCAAGCATTAAGAACAAAGCAGTAGCAAAATGAAACCCTCGAAAACAATAAACTGTGTATCGGGGATCACACCAGTCATCGCTCACCAGTAAATGCTTCTAAGCTTTTTTTTTTTTTTTGACCAAGATTCAACTAGCGGAAAAGAGTTGCAGGAACCTAAAGAATTTTTAGAAGCTTAAAATTAAATTGTCTGCTCCCCTTCAACATATTTCGTTGCCTAAACCGCCTTCTGCGTACAATTAACATTCAAGTCTTTTCTGTATCAAGACGCCTGAGTAGTCGTTCTGGAAGACGAAGGAGATACGGGTAACTCCGAGGGAGGAGAGTCATTTCCAACAGTGGTCGAGATCCTTAGAGCTAGCGAACTTGTAGTTCACTTTTTGTAGTAAAAGGCTTCACCGTCTGCATAACTGATTTCTTAGATTCTAATCAAGTCCGCCAAGTTTGCTTTAATGTTCCTCTGCCTTTTAAATGATTAGAATTTTTGAGTTTATAAAGTTACTTTTTCAGTCTGTCTTATCATTTTCAGATTCCACCGTTGGCAAAAACTTCAATTTCAACATTTTTTTTTTTTT